AGCGTCCGGCAAAGATTGAGCCCCGAACAAGGTCATCTTCTCCTTATTGCTCATGAGTCTATGTGTTGCACCAGGTGGATGCTTAGTTGTCCGTTTCAGAAACTGACACGCCATCCAATATCCTGTGTATTTGTAAAGACATGAAGGCTGTCCTGATTAGATGACCTCCGTACACACAGTGACATCCACAATGTGAAGGAAGGTTATCTACTCTCTCTAATCCGGCTAGCAAAGTAACAATGCACATGATGCATAAAGCATTAACCTAACAGTTGGCTTAGAAAACATCCAAGTTGAAACTGACAAACGGGTCCACCCCTTTGGAATGGGAATTGTTTGGCTTCTTTGTTAGCCTGCAATGCACCATACCTGCCTCTGAAAGGGGGGTAGTTAAAGGGAATTGTTGGCCTGGCTGAACAGGCGAGATCTTCTGTTCCTGTAAGCAGGTGGGGGTTGCGAAGGTCACTGTTGTGTCATTGCTGGAGATACACAGATCTGTTCCCAACCCCTCTGTTTTTGCAGGCATGTCCACCTCCAGTCGTTACCAACCCAGTGGAACTCCTGCCTTGTTGCCATGGCTACATGGGAGGAGCCAACCTTTTTAACTCCAGGAAGTATGATGAAGAGATCAATGCAAGGTAATGGCTGGTAATGCCCGAACCCCTCAATCCCTATATAAAGCAGGGACTATATAGTGAACTCAATTAACTGACCGGTTCGAACAGATCAAAACATTTTGCAACATGTTTTTTCTCCAACACTGTTTACATTTGATCACTGCTGCACTTTATGGAATGAAAATGTTTATTTACTGTCTGAAAGCTGTACTAAACNGCAACATGTTTTTTCTCCAACACTGTTTACATTTGATCACTGCTGCACTTTATGGAATGAAAATGTTTATTTACTGTCTGAAAGCTGTACTAAACAAATTTTCTTTTTGTATACACTCTGTGTGTACAAAATGACAATAAAGTTTTTCTAAATCTAAGTCTAGGTCCCCGTTGGTCATGTGACTCTGGCTTCCTGTGTCTGTGCCATCTTTGTTCTCTTGCCCCCAAAACAAATCCCATGATGCTTTGCAAGGAGAGCTCTTGCAAAGTATTCTGGGATATATCTGCTTGTCTACTGGCCATGGTTGCACACTACTTTTCAAGGTGCATTATGGGAAATTTTGAGACCACCATTTTTTTATCCACTAGACATTCAGACACTAAAATGTCGTAACCACTATATAGTTCTTTATGTAGGGCTCAGGGCGGACGTTTGGACACGGTCAATGTCTTCCCATCCGATTGGTTTGTCTCCAGGTGGGTTCTCAGGTGACAATTATTAGATGCTCCTTTGAATAAAGTGCATCATTTTACACCTTTCATTTGTTACATAACTTCTTAAAAATGGCTTAAATGTGTCACTAAGTAATTGATATTAGAGATAATTATATATCGTTAGGTGTATATGAAGCCAGAATTTTTCCAAAAGTGCACTCGATAAATAAATACAAGCAGTTTTAATGAAAACACACCCATGTAAAATTCTCTCCAATCGCATTTTAAATGGTCTATGCCTGCAGATTAATTCAATATGGCGTCAAATATGTAACACATGAGTCCATGCTTCTTATCTGCGCTCTTTACGCTCTTTTTAGATTCCTGTAGAATTTCTACAGCCGGTAGATTCTCTCCTGCTCGCCTGTTGAGTAGGAGAAATTTCCTGTGATTGGCTACTTTTAGGGAAATCCTATCTCTTGAGTACAGTAACGTTTTCTTTCTAGTTTCGGCCAGTAATGATAGCAAAGCATCTTGAGGCTAATATTAAAAAATAGTAAATAACTAAGTTTAAGACAGTCATGAATGTGTTGTTAAAGCAGCAGCCATGCTCTAAAAGGATTCCTTTTTAATCGGGAAATCTGTATAAGATAAGCTAAAGTTGTTTCTAGTTTTTTTTATTTTATGAAAACTAGGTATGACAGGCACTGTTTACATGTCAGCCACCTTTGTACCGCAGTATGTGCATATAGATCAGACTTTTTCTGCTCCGTCGGATTTAGTTATCAACCTGCGGTCCGTTTCACAAAGAAGGTTTAACAAACTCAAATTCAAATCCTCAACTCTAAATTGTTCTAATCTAAAGTCGGGAACTCTTTTTTCGGTTTTCAGTTTCACAACGGCTGCTATGTTTGTATGAATTGGATTATGGCAGGCCGTTTTTACATATAATAAAAGCACTGTCTTTTCTGTTGTTACGTTTGTAGATCAATAAAATAAGAGGCTTTATAGAGTGGACCAAAAACAAAGCCTTGTTTTGGCTTAAAAAAAAACATGCAAATTGACTCGAATGAACGGGTCTGCCTCTTTGGAAACGGGGTCGTTTGAGTTCTTAGTTAACCTGTAATACCCGATACCTGTCTATGTCTCTGAAAGTAGGGTCGTTAGAGAGAATTGTTGGCCTGGCTGAACAGGCGAGGGGTTTTGGTCACCTCTATGGGGTTATATCAGAACGAGTGACTCAGACATAGGTTGAGTTTCTCTTTGTGAAACGGAAAACCTGAAACTGACACATTTTTACCTGGATTATGTTTAGCTGACATGCCAACAGAAGTAGTTTTTTTACAGAATCATCACATATTAATGAAACAAGAAAGCCTTGATAATCAGTATTGTTTTTCTTGTCTTTTAGCCCAAATGCAGCTTTTAAATTTCCAGCATATCTATCTTTATCTGGATATTTGTAGGCTAAGAATATACATCTGTCTATTTCATCCACAGCTCCCCTCCCAAGCGAATGTATGCCCTGTACCACAGCTCCTACAACGGAAACAACGCGCTCTCCAGGGGACTTCATCACTACGACAGGTTTTACCCCAAATCTTTAAGACTTTTAGGAGTCAGATCTTAAATACACAGAACTGTTGTTTTTCAATACAAAATCACAGAGAAATAGCAAAGCTGAATGCCATGAAACAGTTTGAATGATGGTCTATGGAATAAGTTAAAAATAAATTGACAATTGACAAAAATTGACAACAATAAATTGGAATAAATTGACAATGCAGTTATTTTCAGGTATTTCGGGATCTGAAAATAAGTGTCAATTGGAACAGATTAATAAAAGAATCAGCCAATGGGTATTTTTGTCCTTAAAATAAGATGATTCAATATTTTCTGCTTTATGTTGTCATAAACCGGGACAAATGGACCCAGTATTCAAGGTGAGACAGTCGGTAGGAAAGTTTATTAAAACTTTTATTAAAAACAAAACCGAACACAACAGAACAGAAATGGGCTGTTGTGGTCAGTGGAACTGCACCAAATGCAGGGAAAGGGGGAGCGGGGCACCGCCCAATAGCTGACACTCTCTGGTTTGAAAGTTCAGTCCATGCTCTTCAAAAGAGGTGAGATCCAGCCAATGGGCTGGCGCCGCCCAGAGTGTCACAGATGCTGCAACCCCGGAGAACATACAGGAGGCCGATGCAGGTCAGGGGAAAACAAAGTAGGTCCACAGCTGATCCAAAGTTCTGACCCAAACAGGAACGAAAGAATCCAGACTTCCAGGAATCCACAGAACAGGTTCAGAGTCCAGAGTCAGACGGATTCAGAAGCCTGCCAACACAGACGCACAGATGCAGACAAGCAGGCTCAGTGGTTGAGAGAACAGAGACAAGACGTTGTACCAGAAGTTCTGCAGGAAACTTTACACTAGTCTCCTCCGAGGAGCCAGGCTTACAGGAATAAAACTGACCTTCTCCGCGTTCTGAGCAAAAATCCTGAGGGCTCTGCAGAGAAGGACCAGGATACAATCAGAGGACAGGAAAAACCCAAAAAAATTCTCAATCCACCGCCAGAAACCAGGACATGAACCGTGGAATAAACTAAAACTACCAAACAGACAAACCCTGATCACTCGGGCTTAACTGAATATAAAGCGCAAGAAGCAGGTGAAAAAGATGAGTTAAAATTAGGAACCGGGCAGAACTAGACAGGTGAGTGGAATTAACAATTAAGGTAAAGCTATCAGGCCAGATCATGACATATTTAAAATAATAGTTTTTTTTTTCTTATTTTAAACATGAATGATTTTATTCTATTGGAAAATAATCTTACTTAGTCTTTTAAAAATCTAAATTTAGATATTACAAAGATAACTTAGAAGGTGGCTGTAGTTTGGACCTGTTGGAATCTCTCACATCCTCTCATGTTTGCTATTGCAGTATGGAGGACATCTGCAGGTTACCACCAACGTGCTTCACATACCCCTTCAGCTCCAACGGGAACCCCCATCTCCATCACCTCCACCAGCACAGCCACCAACACAACCAGAAGCAGCTGGAGCCCCTCATCCTGCGCGACGTCCCTCCCTATCAGAGCAGCGCGGTCGGCGGCGGGGCCAGCGGCGGCGCGGGAAGCGAGGCAGGAACGGGCGTGGGTATGGGAGGGGGTGACGGGACTGTGTCCAGGAGCTGGGCGGGAGGAGGGGAGGCTGTGAGGATCTTGGCCAGACGCGTGACTCCAGATGGGAAGGTGCAGTACCTGGTGGAGTGGGACAACATGGGGCTGTACTGAGTGGGAGGACAGGAGACGCTGACTGTTTGGCTGTGGCCACCGGACTGTTGTGTATTTAAATATGTGGATAAAGAAACTAAAAAAATCCAATCTGCATAAGGTACAGATCGAGGTTTCTCTCAGAGTATCACCTCAGTTCGACATCATTATAAGCTCAGTACTAGGTGTTCCTCTTTGCTAGTGTTCCTCTGATATTTGTACCGTTAACTTTGGAATATGTTTGAATTGATCATGTTTTACATCGACGCTGGAAACCACTTCAACCTCCAGATATTTTATCAGTGTTTCACCCTTATTAGGAAAAACAGATATAAGGGTTTATAAACTGTATATACAGTACTCTACTGCAGGTACACAAGATATTAGAAGAACCACTTCCTGTTTCTTTTGTATTTTACTGTTTTTAATTTGAATTTTTCCTGAGAAATGTTTATTTTCCTGCTTCATTATAGATACCTTGATCCCAGTTGGTGAAAATATTGGGACTGTGAGAAGACACAAAGAATAAAACAGAAGAAAGCTTATTTTTTTGTGAATGTGACTTTTATTATATTCTCCTTATTCTAATTAAAAAGCATGCTTAGGATAATTCAAACTTTTATTTTAGTAAAGATATGGTGAAGGAGAAAATCCTTCCTATGAAATGCAAATGTTTTTTTTTTTGGATAAAATTACAGGTGTCATTAAAGTAAGTCCCAATACACTGAAAAAACTGAAATGCAACTTAGTCAATTCTTCTTGAAATCCATTTATTTTTTCTTAATTTGTGCAGGAGTGGAATAAAATGATCTACATTTAAAATAAGAATACCTTATTTTAAGTGAAAAATGCAAATTCCATTGGCATATTATCTCATTGCTCTGCTTAAATTAAATGCAAATACACTAATTTGTAAGAATTGTTGTAGATTTTGTTTTTTATCAATAGAAAGGCCCGCCATAATTTTACAGACAGCATTTATAGAATCTCTCCTCAGCTCATCTCCCCAAAGCTCCGTTTCTCTTACATATTTTTACTTTTTAAAGGCGGAACTACTTTGGCATTTTAAAGATTAAATTACTAAATTCAGTCTTTTAAACTTTCTAAAGACTCTCCATTGGAATTAGGTCTGAGCTTTAACTAGGCCACTAGAAGACAATTAGCTAAAAGTTAAACGCCTCCCGGCCAGTAGGTGGCACCATCGTGTTTGCCTCCTCTGGTTCTCTATTTTTTGCCAACCAATAACCTGGTCGGCTAATGCTAATCAAACCAAATATTTAGGCCGTTTCTCAATTCACGACAACGCGAGTACGTACTCGCGTTCTCGTCAAGTCCGTTCTT